GGGCGGGGGACCTGGAGGTAAAATGTGTTGAAATCGTTGTACCCGCGGCGGCCGTAAGATGGCGCGTCCCTGTCCAGGCGCGCCAGGGTGCCCGCCAGGATCGACACCTGCCAGGGTTTGGGGGCGCTCGGGGCGTCAGGGGGGAGTCGAGGAGCGCGGGCGGGGCAAGGAGCGGCGGCGGGGCAAGCGCCGGTGGCCCGAGGAGACGCACTCAGCAGGCTGCAGCCGCTGACAAGGCTCAGTGACAGGTAGAGTAACCAGACCGCTATCATGCAAGGACCCGTGCAAGCAGCCCTCCCCCTTCGATCGCAGTGCAGCTTCCGCGCACCTTCTCGCCGCTGTCGTTGCCAACAACACGGATGTCAAGGCCCACATCTGCCACCTCAGGCGCAAGGGGCACCTCGGCCACGGACATGAATTGGAGCCGCAAGGGATCAAACCTGTATGCGTGCCGAGCAGAGGGCAGAGGGCATGGGGTGTTGCAGTGACCAGTGTGTATCGAACACGCTTGACAGGTCATCAACGCCCACGTCAAAGCATCCTACCGTCGATCTGAATGTTGTGTGCCAGGTGGTCGTATGGATCTGGATTGTATGCGTAAGGGGGGGACACGCTAACCCAGGGGAACGGGAACGCCCTGCAGGCCATGATCAGCCCATTTAAAGGGTAATTGACCACACCTCCACCCACCGGAGGAAGGCAAAGTCATGAACGGGGTCAAAGTACACCGGGTAAACCGGCAGCTCCTCTCGGTTCAAGAAAATGGCCTCGGCCACGATGGGGCCTTGGGGGGGGGGGCGGGGGCGAGGGTGGCAGCGCGCAACACAAAACCTCGACGTTGGGCGGCCTGACTGCCTCGCGGGCAGGCCGGGGCAGGGAGATGGACGGGCCCGCGGCAAAGAGAGGTGGAGAGTGGGAGCTTCCCGAGGCAGGCAGACGGACGGGGTGTGCTCTGGGCACGTTTGCGGGCCGCACCCGGCGTGACGACATGGCGGTTGGTGAGGATGATGCCTCGGGCCTGCGTCATGCAGGTCAGGAGGGCGAGGCAGCCTTTTCCACACCATGCATTGGCCGCCGGCGCGATTGAGGAGATTCTGTTCTGCAATGAGCAGATTCGTGGACACCAAGCAAACATGTGTTTGCGGATCCGTACATAAACAGACCCCTGTGTACAAGAGGGCTTGCGTTGTGCGGTTGCGCGGGTTGCTCGGCGCGGCGGCTCCCAGCCGAGGGGGGCCGCCGCCGCTCGCTGGCAAGCGCAGGCTCACCTTATCTACCACGAACCCCGTGGCATAGGAGCTGCCCGCGGGCTCCGTGTCGCAGGCGCGCGTCTGCGTGACCCTGCGCAGAGCGCGGCGCGCAGGCGGCGCCGGCGCGGGCTGAGGACAGGGCGTGCAGCGCCGCTATTTGCGGCGTCCACGAGCCGTGCCTGGCATGCATGCGGGGCTGAGACCCCGCAAAGATTGAGCTTGTTGTCATGCCTCATTCCTTTCACGGCTGAAGAGGGCCATGCGCCGACCCCATGCTGCCGCCGGCGACTGCATGCGGCTCCGGCATGCCGACCCCATGTGCCTCGACCCACTTTAGCACCACCACACACGGCACGACACGCTCCAGCGCATCCTGCGGCGGCCCATGTGGAATGCAGGCGGGCGCCTTGCGCTGGTGAGGGCTGGCGGAGCAAAGGGCCGGGGCGCGCGGGGCAGCTGCGGGGAACGCGCCTCGTCGGTACTCCGGCGTACCTCAGCATTGGAACAGCACAGACGCATGCTAGGCCGCCGCATGCGGCCATTGGCCAGGTTGCCAGGCTAATAAGAACGAGCGGGCCCGCCTTACAAGGTTGTACAGGCATGCGAGGGTGGGGCCAGCGGCGCGGGGATGGCAGGCACCCGTCCCTGCGGTGCGCGGCTGTTGATGCGCGATACCCACCTTCCAGCGCGAGTCCGCGGCCAGACCCTCTGGGTGACCAGCGCCATTTCCGGGCCGCTCCTCATCATTTCCCTCATCAGCCATGGCCCTAAATGCTGCCTGGGATGCAACTGAAATGATGGTGATCGCCCAGCAGATCTGCTGAAGTCGCACTGAAGCTGATTCAGGTCATATGAAGAATAGAAGTGTGGTTCGAGCAGCGATATGTTACGGCTTTGGTAACTGACAGGTGCATCGATGTCACCCGGAGGCACACCTGCGTAACACGCGACAGCTCTGAGGAAAGAGAAGGCATTTGCAGTTGTAACATATTCTAAAATTCGATTTTAATCAAAGTGCGCCTCAACTTCCCTGGAATCGTAGTCGGCCGTCACCTTTTCACCGGGGAATCGCAGCAACAAGGGTGCGGCAAGCAGCAGATGAGCAGAGTGCACAAAGCAGTTGGCGTATCCCTGCCCATAACCTTTCCATTGTAACGTATCACTGTGTCACTGATGTGAACATTTGATCAGCAAACACACGTGAACTGACGTGACCGCTGCAGGGGATGTAGTAATGATGGTGTGGTGTTGCCGGTCTTTGATACACCGCAGGCCCGCCTGCGCCTAATGATGGAGCACCATGCTCCATCAGCCCGACATTGAGCGTGATGCAGATGCAAAAGTCACCACCAGACCAGTATAGTCCAGCTTGGCCTCGCACTTCGTAGAAACTGTCAAACTCAGTAACTCTCCTTGCTTTGTCACACTTGACTGGGCTTGCTAGACTTCTCCCGTCACTACGGCCCACAAGGTGGGCGACACACAGGCCAACAAGTTATGGAGGAATCTTGACGCAGCATTTTGCCTTGCCTTGCCTTGCCTTGCCACACGCGACACCAAACAAGCCAAAATAAAGCTGCAGACATACAAACCGCCGTTTTGCTTTATACTACCGGTGTGAAAACAACAACAGGAGTTAAGCGCAAACTAGCCGCCCACGGCAGGCGGCAACACACGTAACACCAAACAAGCCAAGACAAAGCTGCAGATCACAAACGGAGCAGTGAGGGCGCACT